ATACTTACAAAATATCTTACTTATGGCAACACAACTAAACATTACTTACTATATGGTGAATAAATATTTGTAAACTGGAAAAAAGCAGTTATTTATATAAATGTATAATAATTTGAACACATGTAAGAGGAGAAAACTAACTTCTATCTCACGTTAAATAATGTGTCAACTGCACCGAGTCATCTCCAGTACATGTATTACAGTTAACAAACAAGCATCTATACAGACATGGGGATGGACCATATGTTGGTACAAGTACCAATAATAAAAATATAATGTTTTTATATTCTCTCTCTCTTGCACAGAATACCACATGTTCAAATGTAGGTTAAAGAAGCCCTCCGAGGCCAAAGAATTTTCAACTACGTTCCAGAATACGACAATAAAATTAAACAACAAAACAGATTAGTAAAAACAAGACATACATTATTTAAGCATTTTAAATATATATAAAAAAAACACACAATACATGCTCTGTAGAAGAAATAAAACCCGACTGATGACAACATCTGAAATTCTTTAATTTCTTCTCTAGAATTATCTTTAAATACACAACTTACTCCACATCAGTTTTTTATAGCGATGAGTGAATCTGAAAGAATTCTAATTACTTGTTCAATCTATCACTTTCGTCCTAAAAAAACACCCTCTTGCACATAAAGAAGAATTTTATGATACAATATACACACAACAAAGTCAAACAAAGAGTAGTTTTATGTAAAATACAAGATTCTTAAATTGAAGCGTTTGCAGAATATCAGAAATTGTAGAAATATAATAAAACTTCCTTAACAGCTACGGCAATAAACCAGGTTATCAACCACTTCCCTGAATATTGAAAGGTGCAACCACACTGTCAATCATTTCCTAATTAAATATCAAAAGTATTTTTCAGTAAAATTATATTGACGTTTACCTTGAAGTAAGTGGGCTGAGAAGTGAATGTCAAGTTTCCGCACCAGTGTTTTAATTGAACAACATATTACACCTTGTTTTCTTTAACACGTACATAACTCATGATGGCAAAACTTGGTAGTAATAAATGAAATATTTGTGAAACATAGAACAGTCTTTGTTTTCTTTAACACGTACGTAACTCATGATGGCAAAACTTGGTAGTAATAAATGAAATATTTGTGAAACATAGAACAGTCTTTGTTTCTTTAACACGTACGTAACTCATGATGGCAAAACTTGGTAGTAACAAATGAAATATTTGTGAAACATAGAACAGTCTTTGTTTTCTTTAACACGTACGTAACTCATGATGGCAAAATTTGGTAGTAATAAATGAAATACTTGTGAAACATAGAACAGTCTTTGTTTTCTTTAACACGTACGTAACTCACGATG